TCCCCGCGGTGCCTGACCTGAATGAACGAATCCATGAAGGAAAGAGTTGTGAAATTTCGAATGTAATTTGAAATTATCAATATCACCTCCCATAAGATAGACGTCAGTCATAATGCTGAGACTGTTGTTAAAATGGCAGTCACCTTCCACACTTCTTTCCCCACTGATTTTAAAGCCGCCTAGAAAGCACATTATGTCAAACTGCTGAGAATCTCAAAAAATCGAAAGCACCCTGTCTACGCAAGGCGTAACAAGTGCAGTTTAGGGTAAATGGATCGTACCCATCGAATCTACCGAACAATGGGATGCATCGCTTTGGTGACTCCTATTTCAATGATCACAACGACATAGAATTCAATCTGCAAACACCTGCCAAGTCATTGGTACTACCTGCATTCCAGTTAAAAAGCCTTCTAGTGGTCATGTTTGATTCTTCTTGGTGCTTTTCGGTATGATGAAGGTTTGCTTTGGCTGTAGCTGGGTTTGACTGGTGCATAAACCTCATTTAAACATTATGAGACACTACATACCAGAAGTGTAAACCTAGGTGACAAAAGCAATATTCCACTACGTAGCATAGTAATCTCAACAGTTTGTGCAGCGATCGAACTCCATCACTGTGTTACACAATCAAGATAGCGTACGAGGAAAACGCCTCAAATTTGTACCGACAATTTTTCTGCTGCGTTAAGAATAAGAACAAAACAATCATTTTTGTCCTTATCGGTTGCAAAACAGTAGTTGATCTTAAACTTCACATTGACATCTATCGGTAAGTTCTAAAGAGGGGCGTGAAGACGCAACTTATGCCAACGGCCGACGAAGTTGAAATTTAACGTGTTTGCTGACAGTCTATCTAGCCAGCGCACCAACTGCGTGCATAGCCACGTCTGCAATTTTACAACCAATTAGCTTTCGAAAATCCAAGGTCACTTCTAATTATTGGGTACCATTGGACTAGTATGATTGGCTTATTGCGCGGCACAGACATGACTTATTTAAACACGAACTAGAGGTTGGGACGTCAGTTCTTGCGCTGGTGGTGATCATGAAGCCTCAGGTCGGAATCAACGGTTTTGGTCGTATTGGTCGTCTTGTACTGCGTGCAGCTGTTGCGTCCGATTCGGTGGATGTTGTCGCAATCAATGATCCCTTCATTGATTTGGAATATATGGTTTACATGTTTAAGTATGATTCCACCCATGGTCGGTACAAGGGTGTCGTCAAGGTTGAAGGTGGCAAGTTGGTTATTGACAACCACAAGATTACCGTCTTCCAAGAGATGAATGCCAGTGCCATCCCATGGTCTCAAGCTGGTGCTCAGTACATTGTTGAATCCACTGGCATCAATACCACTATCGAGAAGGCCTCGGTAAGAGCTGTGTAATCGTTCTCACACCTTCACCCATTTAGGCTCACTTCCAGGGTGGCGCAAAGAAGGTCATCATTTCGGCTCCCTCTGCCGATGCTCCCATGTTCGTAGTTGGTGTGAACCATGAGAAGTACGATCCCTCCATGAAGGTTGTGTCTAACGCTTCTTGCACCACCAACTGTCTGGCTCCACTTGCCAAGGTCATAAACGATAATTTCGGTATCGTTGAAGGTCTTATGACTACTGTGCACTCCTACACTGCCACACAGAAGGTTGTTGATGGTCCTTCCAAGAAGGCATGGCGAGATGGACGCACTGCCGCTCAGAACATCATCCCTGCCTCTACTGGCGCTGCCAAGGCTGTTGGTAAGGTTATTCCTGAGCTGAACGGCAAGCTTACCGGCATGGCTTTCCGTGTGCCCACTCCCAATGTCTCTGTTGTCGATCTAACCTGCAAGTTGGGTAAGCCAGCCACCTATGATCAGATCAAGGCTGTCGTCAAGGCCGCCTCTGAGTCACCTGCACTGAAAGGCATTCTTGAATACACTGAGGACCAGGTTGTCAGTACCGACTTCTGCTCTACCACTTGCTCATCGACTTTTGACGCTCGTGCCGGCATTGCTCTCAATGATACTTTTGTTAAGCTAATTGCTTGGTAAGCTTGGAAACCAAGTCTCCTCTGACAATCTTACTGATTCGTTCTTAAACAGATTCCACTTCTTTTAGGTACGACAATGAGTGTGGTTACAGCTACCGTGTTGTTGATTTGATCAACTACATGTTCAAGAAGGATCACTAAGCCTCGAACTGGAGGGGATAAAACAACTCCTAACTGATAGTTGTTTGTCGCAATACAATCCCTGTCAAGTAACTGCTGCTTGACCTGAATCACCCACTATCATAGCAATAAAATTAAGTTTCTTTCATACTTCGTGGTTTTCGTGTGAGATGAGTGGCTAATGGTTGGCCTTGTCTACTCCTCTGTCGCATTGGGCTTGGCGTCTGCGTTAAGTGTTAGTCGGCGTGATCTTCGGAACGCTGGCTGTCAGGTTTGGGTAACTGGTTGTGGTGTTGGTCTTTTTTTACGTATTTGAGATTCGACTTAGGTTGCAACGTCATAGGCTGGATAGCACTCCTTTTTCTGATTGACATATGCAGGAATGGAGATGTTTGCATACGTAGACTGCATAGTAAGTCGCATCAAGCAGCGAATCGTTGCAGTGTTTTGTTTAGGCGGCTTGACGCTTACAGTGTACCCGGGAGTACGTACGTGACTTGCGCTGACTCGACTGGCTCGCTGCAGTCACGTATGTACATGCGAGCAGCACGCTCTTTCCTACCTGATTGGCCGTTTGGAGTGCTATTTGGTAGGTTTTCGGCCCTGTGTACGCCCTGCGTTGGGACACAAAGGGACTTCGAGGCTGTCAGGTGGGAGGTGGAATGCGCTTATGTTTAAGATAGCAAAACGTGGTCGTGGTCGCCAGTAGGCCAGAAATCCGCAGTGGGATAGGGGGCTTGATTGAGCGCTTTGTTCTTCTGGCTAAAGAAAGTGCTGTGAGAAACCACCTCCTTGGATCGATTTAAAGAAAAGAGTTTGAGTTTTTGTCTGACGTCAGACACGCCTGGTTAGGGTGCTCTGGTTTAGTCAGTGATGCGCTTATTTAACATGCTAGTGCAGACCACTCACATTTCACTTCACTGCAATCAATCTGAGGGGTATTCATTTCTGCATGTGGTATAGGCGAATATCAGTGAAGCTTGGTTTGGCTCAAGCCTCCTTTTTTAAAAGCAGGATTTGCGGCTGAAGGAAGTTTGGTCGAATTAAATTTATTTGCTTATTCTCAACCAAAAGAGGTCTCTTTAAGGCTAAGTAATCGCTACTATATTGCCAGACGAGACAGGAATCGTGAGCAGACCAATGGTGTGGATGTGAATAGTCGTTGATGTGCCTTCCAGTGGGTTCTCTGTTTCCAGTGCCGAGTCAAGGAAGTACATCACATTTTTGCAATTGAGGCCAATCTAATGACATACAAGTGAGACTGATGAGAGGCAGAGAGCCTGAGTCTTTGCTTAGCCCTTGGTCATAATTAGCATTTCGCACTCACCTTGCCTCCCATTGCTTTAAGCTATGGCTTTTTAGGGCGCAAACATTTACTCAGCTTTATAACGCCACTGACAGATCTGTTTAGTGCTGTAGAATTCACATCCTGTTTTCCAATGAACCTTTCATTTGGGTCGCCATGATTATGATTTCATCGGAAACCAACAATTGACAAGTGTGCCCAAATATATTGTCCATGTGGAAAGATTCCAAAATTGCTAGAAAACATTCCTCAAAAACTTTCATATAAAAGTCAAAAGTACCACCTTAATCTATCACGCGTTCTTGAGCAGTCCTTAATTGAATTGTTTGGCAAAAAGTCTGGCAAAAGTGACTTCGTGTTTTTGGCTCTTGCATGATACACGCCTCAGTAATTCAGTTGATTGGGGCTACAAGCCACAGCCAAAGGTGTTTTCGCTATGTGCAACCGTGGAGTGCTGCCCCTTGACGTCACCAACAGCACGCAACTGCTGCTGTGTATGTCGTGCCACTCCTTTTGGCCCTCTCAAAACAGCAGCAGCACACATGAAATGTAAACTGTAGATGAATTGTCGAGAGTATGAATGAAACCAAGGAGATCTCAGTACCACTACTACTACCCTGCCCACTGTAAACACCACCATTGTTCGTACTAGCAGTCTGCAGTAGAACAATAAAGCAATAGTTACGATATCGTCCCCATTGTTTGATCAGCACTATAGCCAAGACAACAGACGCACTCTTACGATGCTTCCATGTTGGAAAAGTAAAGAGGAAAACTTTGAGAACCTTTCCCTTCAAGATACTGCGTTATGCATAAGACATAGGAGGACCAATAATTATATATAACACTACCTTATATGCAGCTGAAGGGAGGTCTCACTCAAGCGGATCGGTTTGACACTTTCATTGCATTAACTGTCGAACCAACTCGCAGGTATTTGGGCAATAAGTGAAGAAAATAAAGCCCTGATATGCGGTCTCTGAGCTGTCGTGTTCTATCAAGGCGCACGGAGGTGTCTATCGAATCCAGTGTAGAATCAAAGGCTGTAAAACCACTGAGTAGCAGCCGTACTCTCTAACGCATACAACATTTACAAAAAAACCATTGATTCTGACCTAATGTAACCGTAACCGAGATACCTGCATGATGCCAATCAGCATCCAGAGCAAACCTGAACATGGAAACCTGCTGCTGATGAAGTTCCTGTTGGGACACGTGAAAAGGTTAACGTGATAACTAAGGCTTAATTGGCTTCCAGAAGGCTGTTTCCCAAAATTACAAAGTGTAAGGGAAATTCAAGTGCAAATAAACGGTAGTAATTAAAAAGTAGGTAAAAGCCGCACCATAGATAGACCAATTACTCTGTAAACACAAACCTATCCGATGAATTGGAACAATTGAGGTGCTGGTGACATTAGGTCAGCGAAGCCAGATGAAAGCAGACAGGACAATAGTTACCGAGGCCTAATGGCACAGTCCGAGGGCAACCCTCTGGGGTTAAGCTTCTCTTGATGGTAAAACTGGCGCCCAATAAAAACTACGTCAGTCACTTGAGGCAGGCACGTAAAAGACAAAGGCAAGATATTTAGCTTGACAGTTGAACAGCCTGCTACGCGCAATCACGGATATTTTGATTCAATAATAAGGTGAGCGGTAAATTTTCGCAGTCTACTTCCTCAGAAATACAGGGCGAATGGTCTTTTGCTTCCTTT